AAAACTGTGAGGGCAAATTCTTTGGGGAGCGAAAATTGTGAACTCTAAGGAAACAATCTGCTAGAGAGCATTGTGACGGCACCGAGTGAGAGCTCATTCAAGGCCAGACTTGACCAACACTGGAGCAGGTTCTGATATACAGTATTCAGGGGCCAGTGCATGCCCAGTATCTGTCAACAGCCCGTTTCAGAGACGTGACTGACCACCGTAGCGGCTAACGAGCCAATCAGTGGTGAAGAGGATAAAAGTAAAAACACTTCACTTGCCTACCGTACCTATCCACATAAAATTCAACCCCTTGTGTAAACGGGAACCTAATAGTTAAACTTTATTCCTACAGATTTTTAGGTTCCCATTACTGCATGTCCTAAAAATTCTGTAAAAATCATTTAGGGTTCTCGGATAAAAAAAATAACTCTGCACAGTATATCCAAACAGTTACACCAAAGTCTAAGTACAAATTGATATCTGGGATAATAAGAATTTAAAATCTCCTCTAAAACATCAAGCATTAACCCCTTCCGTACAGGATCTCACCAAGAGCTGAATGATCGACTGGCATTAATCAAATCAAATATTAAAAGTGTTGTCCCCGTAGTGAAGGGGTTAAGTTTTATTCAAGCTGTATGTCTTCCCAATCCAACACTTTATCTGGGTTTTCACTTAAAGTTTATTAGGTAAAGACCCTAAGAGTATTTGAAGAGGGTGTGTAGAGGTTGTAGGATATACGGTACTGTATTGTTTATGTCATTAAATAAAAGGTATAAACTACAGCAACTCCATAGTTACAAAACAGACAAGTTTCTTCAGGGTTTAACTACAGTACAGCCACTCCTCGACTTACGACCACCCGGACATAAGACCGCCACAGTCGTACCAAAATTTTTTCAAATTACATATTTTTGAATCCCGACGTCAGTGATTGTGCTGTGTACTGACAATATTTTCGTTTGTAATTCCCTTTAAAATGGCTGGCAAGCTTAAAAGTGAGAGTTATTTTCGCATTTTCGATTTACAACCTGGATTTGGGTCCCTAACCCCTCCGTATGTCGAGGAGTGGCTGTATATAAATACAATTCTAAACGTATTGTAGAGACAATATTTTGTGAGTGTGTGTGTGCGTGTGTGTGTGTTTGCTGGTCACAGGTAATAGTGTGTGACAATTATGGTAAATTCCCAGAAACAGTCAAGGCAAAGAGACCATGGCCTACTTGCCATTTCCTAGGTAAATCCAGTCAGCAGTAGACAAGGCATATTTATCATTTCCTGATTAAATCCAATTAGCCATGTTTTCTTTGCTCACCCACTATATTTGGGTTCTATACATCAACACAAATGTTTCAGTGAAAACCCCGAACAAGCCAATTCATTATCCAGTCCACACATTTACCCTCTTTATTAAACTGTGCCAATCGAAAATCAAGTTTAAAATGTATATTTTTTTTCTGATATTCTTAACACTTTCCACACCCTTTCTCACTAAGGGGTTGGAACATAAAGAGATAACTGGATAAAGGGCTGATTGCTGTTACTTTAGAATTCTGTACAAGTCATGTTTTGTTAACAAAGTAGCTCTTGGCTGTGATATTGTAGCTACATTGCCGACAGGCGGTGTCCGTGATACTGCTTTCTTACAGAATAAAATCCATTTTATTCAGCATCTTGCATTACAATGAGGAGTCTTTTGGTGAGTGAAACTTTCTTTAAACTAACCTAGTGGCCACACAGTCTGTGGGATTCATTCTCTTAATGCAGTACTGTAAATTAGTGTAGAAGTAACACACGAGAACTTTCTAGAATATTTCAAGTGACTTTCCTCTTTACTGTACTCATCATCATCAACATTTTATAGCCATTTTCCCCACATGTGTGGGTTAGCCTCAATTACCTGATGGCAGCTGTTGGTAAAAGCAGCCCAGACCAGGGGATGGGCACAGCTCTGGTGACCCGGCTGCCATCGATATACTTAAGCAAAGTTTTATGGCAGGATGCTCTTCTTAATACCAGCCGAGTGATATTTTTTTCTTCCATTAATTAAACATTATACAGTACAGGGGGTCCCTGGGTTATGAACGGGTTCCGTTCCTGAGGACGTTCTTAAGTCGGATTTGTACGCAAGTTGGAACACATGCTATATGCATACAATACTTACAGAAGGTTTAAAATCCCATTACATCATAGCTTAAGTTTTTATATACATCTACAATCACTTATTTTAAGACAATAGAAATAGAATAACAAAATTCAGTAAATGAAAGTAAAAATTAAGTCATCAGGTAAATAAAATACAGAACTGTAAATTTCAAGTTTAACCCCATTCGTATTGGAGGGCGTTCGTAAGTCGGGGACCCCCTGTACTGGCAGCTGTTATGGGTAAGTAAATTATTGCCAACACCTAGCTAATTGAAATACACAGATGCTAAAATTGGGGTTTCTTGCTTAAGGTGACATTAATTACCTGTGGATTAAAAACCTAAATAAAAAAAATTAAATAAAAATTGACCCACTAACCTAACACTTATGGATACAGTACAGTTTATGTCCGTTAGTGCACAACACAAAAAGATGAGTCAGCAGAGTACAGTAGAGGCTCAAGGTATATAAATATGGTTCAACACATAGGAGAAAATGTGTCCATAATTCCTATAACATATTGTAAGGAAATTAAATCATGATTACCACAGTGACCCCAAAATTAAAATATGTTCCATCTTATACATTGACGACCAGAAACAAACTCTCGCCTTCTGCCACAGCATCACTACAGGTTGTCAATTTCAGACCTTGGAAAAACTAAATAAATTGGGTAAAAAAAAAAATAATAATGATAATTTTTAGCCGTTATATCCCTGACATGTAATTCCAGTAACAGTAAGAATATATATTACAATAATGTATTAATGTATTTACCTGCAAAATTATTTAGAATTACAGAATTGCTCAAACAGTTATGTATCAATTCCACTGCACCTTATGTTTTAAAAATTTACGTTTTCCTTTATATTTTATAATTTTCTCGAACATGATGTATAAAAAACGTGCGTAGTTTAATTAGAGGAGTAAAACATAATAATGGTTGGCAACAGAAAAGATGAGAGAAATGGCGAGAATGTGAGAGTACTAATGGAGACCCAGACCCACCCAGTCCAGCCTCACCATACAAACATACCTTTACTACCTTCACCTTCCTCTCCGCTCACACTTATATCTTCAGGGTGACAGAAAGATGGAGAAGGCAGTAACGGAGACCAAACAGCCACAGCATACGGTAGTAACACCACTATTCCACCACAACACGCAACACCACCACCACACCAGCAGGTCCCCAAACACCACACTCAACTTTTTCCAAACTCACCCCAATGTAAGCGTTGACAGTTGACTATCACTCGCCGCTATACGTGTACAGGATAATTATACACTATTTAGAATTATATTTGGCGACTATAGGCCAGAGGGAAGTGTATAAAAGGCCAGAGATGAGCTAAGGACACCGGTATAAGACACCAACGTGGGTCTCACTCACCAGGAACGTGTCCCGCTAACAGGACAAAAAACCCGCGAACCTCCGCCAAACAAACTAGTTCTCTAATGTTTTTCCCTCACATAACCCCCATAATCCTTAACCCACGCCCATAACCTCCCCATTTACCTTTACACATGCATTAAAATATATTAAAATCATCATATAGATTCCAGTACTCAATTTACGGATAATGAATCATGACTTGCTGGTAGAGGATATCAGCTGATTGGCGTAACAATAGCAGACGACAACATGTAACAATTGGGCGGGAATGTACATATTGTTTGAAATATTAATAACACACTAAATAAAATCATCCAACGAATTATAATCATCTATTATTTCTATAATTATGAACAGATTTACTGGCTATGAGGAATACGACTCCCTGTTATAGGTTGCAAAATTTATACATGAAGACTTGTATTAGAGAAAACGGGTTTGTTGCCAGATTCAAGCACAAACTTTCTCCTTTCGGTATAATTAAATTTGGGAGGACTTTACTTTATTCAACTTTATATTTATTTATTATCAGTCTTAACCATAACGGGAGACCTAGTTCGTAATTTTGTGCCTTGGTTGATACAGTTGAGCTTTATTAGTAATAGTGGGGCCTGATTGCACTATGGGGTCTGGTTAGCCTTATGGGGCCTGGTCAGCAATTTATACTATAAAAGTATTAAATTGTCTTACCAAAAGTATCAGCAAAGATAACATCTACCCATTTGTTCATTTTAACATCATATTGAGAAAAATCTTACCTGTGTTCTGACTGGATTAAAGTGGATAATAATTTCTACTGCTTCACATGATCACATTCAGGAGGTTCCACCATTTACCTCATAGTGGTAAACACTTCTTCACAGTTATAGCATAAAGATCCCAGTACAGTACAATACTTGAATTTAATTTGTGATACCAACTGCAAGAGATTGTACAACATGAATAGCTGCCACCTAGTAACCAAAATGAACGCAAGTAAACCTGGATATTAACCATAAATGATGAAGATGATAATGATGGTGATTTTGGATATGCAGTATTTCAAGGACCATATTTTTGTTCTACTTACTCCTCTATTAATGCTTCACCTAAAACTTAATTATATTCTATCTCTTCCTGCTGTCTAACTTTTCTTTTTTCCAAAAACCATATTTACTCCTTTTCACTCCTGTGTGGGATGGATCACAAGATACAAGGAGACTAAAACCTTAAAAGACAGAGATGGAAAAATGCAAAGAATGACGCAAGATATAAACCGATAGGGAAGAGCCGAGACAACAAGTAGAAATAATCACACATATTTACAGACATCTTCAACTTCTGTTCTCTCCTGATGAAGCAACTTTCCTTCTATGCGCACACTGCTGACAACTGCTTACCTGTAACACCCATCAGCAAGTGTCTCCAATGTTACAATTACCTCTCCGGTGGGTACAGGTAAGGAGGATCTTTCCCAAGGATAATGTTGAGGTTGAAACTGGTTGTGTCACCCAATTTAATATTTTTAATAAAGGTATACATAAAGGTGAATGGAAGATTGACCCTCAAGTTCCTAACTCCCATTTTATAACCAAAGCTGGACTGAGAGACATGTTTTAGGCAATAAGGTACAGTAAGTGCATGGGCTCAGAGCCTTTATAAATCTCCAAATTAAGTTTGGATTAATTAAACTGTTTGGACCATTTCAATGCAGTGTTTCACTTTCCTCCTGTGATCAGAGCCCTAATACTGTATAAGGGTCTTTACAGAAACAGGAGTTGTCCTTTATGCAGAAGGTGAATGAGGTCATACTGTACTGCCACAACAACAGTGCATCACCACAGACCTTTGTTTGGCTGTAACCTGGGATAACAACAATAACTTTTAGCCCTAACAGCACATATAGACAAGTGTGTTAAATTATCCTATACATTTAAACTTTGGAATTTCAAGTAAAAATATTCAAAATCTATTACTGTACTGTAGTACTGTACATTCTTGTGCTTTTAAAAAATCAGTAACACAACTTTTACACTTGAGTTCAATATAAAATAACAATATTTAACAAGCTTGTAGTAAGAAAATTGTACTTGACTTGCTGTACATTTCTTAATCAACAACAGCAAGCGGCAGTCTGAAACATTCCGATGTGGATCTCTTGTACAGTATGCTGGAGGTTCCAACTGTTATGAAAGATTCTGAGAGGCTTCAGCTCCTGTATCAGTCTGGCCGGTCATTGTCCCATGTTGTGCTGCAGGTTGTAAATTATCTACATTAACTGTTCTATCCACCTTCGACAGATCATCAAGACCATCCTGAAAAATGGAAACAAATATTATAAATCTTGCAAAATTCTGTACATTAAATAGGTTGGTAAACCATTTAAGTAATGCTGGACTTATAGTAACTACTGTATCTATTAATACCAGTAGTTAGAGATTAGCATTTAGTAAAGTAACAGTTGACTCTTAGAACAGATGTGAGAAGAGTGTTATCTTATGTGACACTACCAAACATGGCAGGTTTTCTCCAGGTACTACAGTTACCTCCTGTACCAACACTGGACAATAAAGGCCATGACAAAGTAACAGAGAACAGACCGACTGCCCGAACAGGTAGTAAGGTGATAAGTGGTGTAAATAAGAGATAAATAAATAATAAACAAAGATGGTACTGTACCATCTGGCTGAAGGAGGCCACAACCAGGTGGTGATGGTCAGGGTTAGTCTGGTGGTGTTGGGACGATTCAGGCGGCTCCAGCACCACCATCTGTTGTCCGCCGATCACTATCTCACTGCCAACAACCTGGTAACCTCCCCCTGGCAAGTTCATCTGACACCCCATGAAAGTTATTGTTATTATTATCATCATCATTATTATTATTATTATTATTATTATTATTATTATTATTATTATTATCATCATCATCATCATCATCATCATACTGGCAGTGATAATCATTCCTGAAAACACACATAAGAAATAAATCATATACTGTACTGTACTGTATATGATGACTACATTAACTAATTAAAAGTTTACACTGTATGAACCTTCAACAGGATTACTGAGTATGTGATTTTTACAAGAGGTATTCAAGAAAAGATGGATTAAGCTTTATGGTTTTGAAAAAGAAATATTGAATTATATATCAAGTGAAAGTCAAACCACTGTCATGTCACAACAACCCTACACAAAGCTTTACTATCAGACATTCCCATTAATGTTAAACTTTTGGATCACCTAATACACAATATTCACCATATGAAGAAAGGCCTACATACAACTTTTGAGTTAAGTTTTTAAGATGATACAAGAGATATACACAATAAGTTATCTAAACTCACAAGAGGCATCTCAAGTTCAAATCGAGGGTTCCCAGGACCATCTGCTGAGCCTTCTGTCTCGGTCATAATCTTGCCTCCCTGGGTGATGGTCAGAGGACCTCCACTGTGGATTATGTGCCCCTCATTGGTCAGTATCCCCAGGTGGTCGCTCTTCATAAAAGATGACGACTGCGACGATGTCATCACAATATCCCGTCCTTCACTAGTCACCATGGAAGAGTCGGACACTGTTGCCAGAGCGTCGCCTTTACTGTTCTGTATCTTCGGCTCCTGGATATTTTGGTCTCGTCTGTGAAGGATTTTTTCAGTGTTCCCTGAGGTGTTGTAACTTGTGGTGACGGTGGTGTAGTCGAGGGTCTTCTCCACGTGACTCTGGCTGGTGACGGTCTCTACGTACCTCAAGGCTCCGTCCTCGGTGTACTTCATGGGGATCTCTTCGTCGTAGGTGTTGTTTAAATGGTCACTCTGTAGGTTTTCTATGACCTCAATTTTAACATCAGAGTCTGCAGTGGAGTCTTCTTGCTTTAGTTGTTTAAGGCGACGCCACACAGTTGTTTTTGATACCTGTAATAAAATAAGTATCAAGCTTAACCCCTTCACTATGGAGACACAACTTTCAATAAATCATTTGGCTAATGTCAGATAGTTTTATTCAGCACAGAGAGGACCCAGTACATAATGGCTTAATACAGTCCTGTCGGAAGACTATACTAAATGACTGAAAGTTTTTGAGACAATACAGGACTTAGTACAAGCTTTATCAAATTATATTTCTGTATAATAATATTTAGAGTGAGGAACTAAGACGGTCCCTCTGGCCAATAAAGGCCATAACAAAGTAACAAGGAATAGGCCGATCACCGGAACAGTTAATATGCTGATAAATGGCGAAATGATAAATAAAATTAAATATCCAACATTGTGAGAGCAATTACCTTCACTGTACTGTACTGTATTTATAAAACTCTGGCACGTCAACCTAGAGGTCAAGAGACTGTACCTGGTATTTTTCAGAGGCTTGACTCTGTGACATGCCTCCCTCCTTACACGCTGCAATAGCCTGCTGGACTGACACCTCTGAGACTCGCCGAGGTCTCATGAGTCTGTTGATACATGATGCCGGCATCTTTCCTTCGCGCACTAACTGTTCTTTCAAGCGGAATAATGTCGTTTTGGGGATCTGAAAAGAACATCATTGTCATAAATGTTTTCTGGCCATGTTCCGCTCTTAAAAAATCTGAAAATGTGTAGGACTGGGATGAGATTGGAAAAAATTACCTGTACAACTTATCTTGCAACCCAGAGAATTTGTTTTTCTTTAAAGAGTACCAGTGCATCTTTCCCTACTGTGACATAAAGTGGTATCAGTCAAGAGCAAGAGACACCCCTTTACTTCCAGTGCCTGACCTTAGTTTCTTTTACAATGTGTGAGAGCGTACAGCCATTCAGTAGCATCTCTCGTGCCTGGTTGAGATCATCTGGGGAATAGTTGTAGGAGCGAGGCGTCTCCTCCCTCAGCACTCCCTCCCGCTGACACCTCCGCCATAACACTGACTTGGGTATGTTGTACTCCCGTGCTACCTTCATGTAACTTGACCCAGCTGGAATTTAAATGAGTTTGATCAGTGCACATAAGGTAAATGATATGAAGGTTGTTGGTGGGACAGAGTTTGATCAGCACACACACATATGGTTAATGGTGATCCTTAGAACATCAGTCATCCATCAAAGTACATTAGTATTATTTTCATAAGGCTAACTACAGAAGGTCGTACATACACACCTTTAACAGCCTGTTTTGCTGCTTCTAGAGTTTCACCGTCATAGTCCAAGTTTCGCTGCTGGACCGATACTCCCGCCAGTCTCGCATTAACAGAGAGCGTGGAGTGTGGGACGCCCCATCTCTCAGCGATCTCTCGTAGTGAGCCCACCCCAGAACGTACATCTTCTATTGCTCTCTGGAGATCCTCTGGTCTGGAGTGAGAATATAAGTATACTGTATGAACATTTGAACGACACTTAAGAGTCTAATTTAATAAAACTTACATTTATTAATCCTTGCGCTAAATGTGTTATCTGTGAATCTTTTTCCCAAGAATTGCCTTAAAAACTTTGTATAAACTATTATAAAGAATGTAATTCCATTGAAAAACACAATGAAACCCTTTTATCAATATTATGGAAGTGTAGCATAACAACTTATAGACTTATACAGTGCATATCTCCGTTCATTGATAATTATAGCAAGAAATACTTTCATTTTATTTTCCATCAACAATTCATCCCAAATATATGAAAAGTTATACAGTATGTTGACAAAGTTACGGAGAACAGGAACGCAGCTTGTTTTACCTAATGATTAAATTCCTTGACACTAAATGGGAGGGTTAAGTTAGATTGCATTAGGTTACATTATGATAGATTTGATTATGTTAGGATAAGTTAATTTAGGTTAGATTAGTTTACTTTACAATAGATTAGGTTAGGTTAACATTTGGGCATTTAATAATCAAGTGAAATAAGCTGAGGTTCCCAATCATCATCAAATCCTTTATATGAACTGACAATACAGTACAGTATATTACAGAGTTTGTTCTACCTGGATAACAATGACAAGCCTTGTTTACTTAAGAATATACACAAACATATTTCTGTACTCGGAGACAAGTTTTACCCTGGAAAATAAAGCATAATAAACTTACCCATATCTGGCAAATTTGTACATTACTTTTCTTCTCTTCTTGGCTGTCCAGTACTCTTGATCTTCCTGAGAGAGAGAGAGAGAGAGATACTTGAGAATATACCATCAAAACCTTTGCTGAAAATACACAGAACACCAACACATGTACTGTATATCATAAATAACCTATATATTTATGATACTGTACTGTGGGGCCACCAACAAGTGACTGACTCAGCCTGTATAAGAAAGACTATTATCAGTGAAGTAAGAGAGCGTACCTGCAGAGAGGTGGAGTCATCGGCCGACGTGTGTTCCTCCGTGGACCCGTCACCGTGGATGTAGTCGCCGCTAAACAACACCTCACCCATGGTCCCGTCCTCGCTGAGCTGGATGTTGGTAAAAGGTATTAAATCCTTAAATCCATTCTTTATTGGGAATTATGGACGAAACTGTTGACTGTTGACACAAACTAGAATGACACAGTGTAAAGGTCAGACACACTGAGAGAAGAATAGCTGCTAAGATAATAAAATACCCTGTGTTGCTTACAATCCTTCGGGAGTGTTTATGGTTATGTTTTGAAAAGTAAATCTGGAAATGGTGACAAGAGCTGTGTTAGTAAATCAAATATCCATGAACATATTAATAAATCGCATTGAAAATACAGCAATAGTGTTGAATATACCTGTACATCCTAATACAATATGCAATACATTATACCTGCCTTTACTATATGTGTAGGAGTGAGATCATCTACTGTAGACAGCTGGATGTCCTCTGGCTGGATCAGGACATGCTCAGTACTGTTGGCCACTTCATCTGTCTTCATATCCACACCTGATAAGTAGAGTATATAAAACAATAGCCTTTAACCCCTTGTGTACTGGGGCCCTTCTCTGCTGAATAAAACTATCTGGAGTTGGCCAAATAAAACTGTCTAGAGTAATCAAATAAAATCATCTGGACTTTGCCAAATAAAATATCAAAAGTGGCATCCCCATAGTGTAGGGGTTAAGCATGAAGTAATAAACAGGAAGAGTAGCTACAATAAGTCACAGCGACACACAAAACTCACCAGTTGCCTTAGCGTTGACTCTCTGTGCCTGCGACGGATTATCACGATGTTGGTGTTGAGTCGACAGTGAAGAGTTGGAGGTGACGGATAAATGGTCAGGCTCACCGGCCGTTACCTCCAGCTCTACCATCCCTTCACCCTCAAGACACATATCCTGAGACTCTGAAAAAAGTAAGATGATGTATGATCTATCTACCTACTTTCCTATCTATCTATTTTATTTACTCCCATTGGACTACTTTTGTTACCTCATGAACATTACTTTCCCTGATAACCAAATGACCTCATGCTAACTTAACACCCCCAAGGTTGAACTAGGGTGTTTAATAATCAGGTGAAATAAGCTGAGGTAACTAATTAATATCTTGCACTGGCGTCTTTAAGGGGAGCAAGACCAGTGTATAAAATAAAAAAGGAGTTCTTACACTACAACATAATTATCAAGTACCTAGAACCTTTGTATGATATGTGAACAAAATCCACGGGATGACCCCACGTGCAGAAATGCATCATGGTTTAAATTGGCCAACCCTGCAATAAACTCCATACATACAGCACTACATAACATACACCATACATACAACATAACCAAGACTACAGCATGACATGTGTTAGTCACTTCTCGCCCAGCTGTGTCTTCATGTTAAATCAAATCAATAATTATTAACTTGTTCATCTTCCAACAACATTAAGGAGTAAATACCTTCATTATCGTGTGTTATGACCTCGTGGTTAACCTTCCCTCCTGACCCAGTGATGACCGAGTCCAATTGTGCCTGAAATTGTGAGAATTGTCTTTTGTTACAATTACCCTAACCTAACTTGACCTAATCTAACTTAACCTACCCTAACCAAATCAAACCTACCCTAACTTAATATATCCAACCCTAACCTAACTAGAACCAAACCTGATCTCACTCTAACTTAACCTAACCTGTAATATAATTCCCTTTTATAGATTCAAACTGGGTGGCTAATCTTCAGGTGATTCACATGATGTAAAATATTCTGAACACTTTCATGTTATATATATTCTCAACATAATCATACACAAAATATCCTCAACATTATTATCAATTCTTATCATTTAACTAATTTACACATCCCGTTTGCCTTACACATATATGGTAATCAATTAACTCTTACCAGACTTGTGCTTGTTTAATGTTCAACTATTTCTTCTTATGTGTAAGTTAAAAGCTTATTATAACTTGTGTTTCAGCTATGACTATAACACATTCACTCATTTCCTTCCTCTCTCTCACTCACTTTCTCCTCCCCTACCTACCTTTCCCTCGCTTACTTTCTCCCTCTCTCACCAACTCACTTTCTCCTTCCCTCCCTCTCTCACTCACTCACTACCTCCATTACAAGTGACTATAATATATACTCACAGGAAGCTCAATAAGCCCTTTAACTTTAAGCAGCTTGGCCAGTTCAATAACATGTGGAAGAAGCTCACCAGGAACATTCACCTATAATAGACAACACAGTAAGTCATTAGCCATCCTTAGTACACGAGGCAGACCAGCACGAACAAGAAGAGTGACGCAGTAGCTTGATATGCATTTATTATACACATTATTCCTCTACTGAACAGGAAACAGAGGAAACAGAAATATCTAGTTTGACCATTAGTAGTTTTATCACCTGTGTTTTTCTCGCTGTTTCATAATATTTCACATACATATAAACAGGATGGTGACTTTGGTGAGTGAAAACCTTGGTGATGGAGTTAAGATCATGTGACAATGTGTGAATCAGCTGATGTAAGGGAGGAGAGGTCAGATGAGAAAAGATGCTAAATGCAATATAGGGCGTCCATGATGTGAACCACAGTGAAACTTCCAAATAGCAGACTTCTCTCTCCATATAATCCATTAGATGGAGGTGTCACATCTAACGGACCCTCGATGTAATGGATTTTCATTCCTAAATAGTTCGTTAGATGGAGGTGTCACATCTGACGGACCCTCAATGTAATGGATTTTTCTTTCATATGGTCCATTAAATAGAGGTTTCACTGCATTTTAAAACTCAATAACTTAAAAAAATATTAAAGACAAAATACGGTGCATGTGTTCTATCATTAATAACTTTGTGGTTATTAGGTTTAAAAATGGATCAGATAATTTATGAACATCCTGTTGAGAAATATACAGTACAGGTATGTTCCTATACAGAAGAAAAGCAGTTAACATCAAGTAGCAACATAACAGAGCTGGGAGACTGGATCTTACCTGTCCACGGTACATATATGCGATGATGACTTGTAAAGCGTCAAAATTGGCTCCAGGAAAGACTACCACCATTGGGCGCTCTTCACTGACTTCCTCCAGCATTTTCTATCAAGTAAATACATGTACAGATAATACAGTATAAATACTGTAGCATAAACACTAGCAATAATAACACAGGTACTGTACTAGCAGAAGCAGTAATTACTACCCACTCCCACTAAACATTGCTGGGTAGTTTTGGAGGGATTTTTCTGGAAATTTTCCAGAAAATGTGGCAGACCCAGAATTTAGACAATTTTTCTGGAAAAATTCCGAGTTGATTTCAATTCCAAATATTGGAGAGTTCTGGGGATTCTGGCTAACCGGGAGATTACTGTGCTAATATCTGTGTGAGTCATAGACTTACAAGAATTATGGCATTTTCTTGTCTCAGCAGTAGAGCATTGTAACACCACATTCTGATTAAACACTGTGTACTATCAATACAAAAATATGAAGTAATAAGATGAAATAACTTAAATACGGTGTTAGTATGCAGCTGAAATTCCTGCATATCAAAATATAATGCATGGATGTTTTGAGAGAATATATTGTATTAGTTATCATGTACACTCATTCTGAAGGAACAACTTAGTGAAGACAGATACTGTAGATAGATACATACAGCATGTACATAGATATTTATTCAGTCAAATTTGTATAACAAGTTTTCAATTATTTATAATGCACAGTATATAAATAATGCAGGTACTGTATACAGTTCAACAGGTATACATAGACAATGCAAGCATACAGTTCATGTGTACAGTGGTCCCTCGGTTAACGAGCACAATCCATTCCAGCAGGTTGCTTGTTAACCGAAAAACTCGTTAACCGAAACCATTGTTTCAATGGGTTTTTGGGTAATTGGTTCCAGCTCACCGAAAATTGCCTAAATTCAACAAAAAAGGTAGAAAAGTACAATTACTTTGAGGTGTGTATGTAGAAGGCTCCTGGATGATGATGATGATGATGATGTGGGTGGAGGAGAAGAGAAGGCATTGGGGTGGAAGAGAAGTCTCCCCATGGCACCATTTCACCCATAAAATTTTAGTTTTCTTGGTTTAATTCAAGATTATTTTCCTTAAATCAACACTGCACTGCATTATATATTGTCAATATGTAAATTAAATTTCAAAATGACCAATAATTTGCATGCAAACACAGAAAAAAGCATTTAGTTGAAGAGAGTCTCAAGCAAGAGGTTCCCTCCACTGAAAATAGAGAGAGACTGGCGCCTGTTTGGTGTGTTGCCAGGCTGGATGGCGCGCATGAAACTACTGTCTTTACCTTCAATTACGTTCAATAATTGTTAAAATGACTAAAAAATTTAATACTAAACTTTTAAAATTATTGAATAGTATAAACTTCTTGATATTTACTAAAATAGTAAGGAATTTAAGCCCTAAAACTGATTACTGTATTGGCGGACTAATACTACAGCTGGACCGCCAAATGCAAGCGAAAACATATTGAGATCGGCCCGTAAAAAACTCGGTAATCGAGGGATTGCTCGTTAACCGAAGTTAAGAATCTTATGGAAGGTAAATCGTTAACCGAGGGATCACTGTACATAGACAATGCAGGCATACAGTTCAACATGTAAATAGACACTGCAAGTATGTATACAGTCCACCATGTGTATATACAATATTGTACAGGTATACAGTTCAACATGTATACTGTATAGACAATGTACAGATGAAACAAGTATAGTTGTCTTACTCTAAAGTATGTGCTGAAGAAAGCTAAAATAATGCGATGAGCCTTGATGCTCCTCGACCCCACAGAGATGGTCACGTCAGTAAGCGTCGCTCCGGCCAAGAAGTGTGGCAACTGGCGACCCACGTGTTCTCCCCAGTTCTGCCACAGCACCACAACCATGACTGAAAGATGGATCCTCATTGTTTCTTGCGAGGTAAGTGAAACCTCCATTAACGGACATCTCTCTCCATATAATCCATTTGCATGTAATGATCCCTCAATATAATGGACTTTAATTTCTATACTGTATACTGTACCTGTAGTTCGTTAGATGGAGGCTTCACTGCATATAAATACTATGGTAAAGTTATTGTTTTGGTCATCCACCTATTTGGAAGTAGGTCAGAATCCTTCAAAATACATCAAAAACCATTGGAAAAACATAATTTCAACCTAACCTAACCCAAACTTAAAATGCTAAAATTCACTGGATGACCAAAACGATAATATCATAAATATTGTTGTCTCATGTCAACGATTGTTTGTTTATTTTAAGGGTAATGCATTACTGTACTCTGGAACATCATTACAGGTTACCCCGGAGCTTTAAAACATTTGTCTATAAAAGGTAATTTATTTCTTACCTCGAGAAAAAAAGGGATTTACAGTTGCTAAATTATCGTTTCGGTCATGCACCTAACCTAACCTAACCTAACTTGACCTAACTTGAACATAAAATCCTAAAAATCACTGCATGACCAAAACCATAATACTTGCACTATTACTTGAGCAATTTGTTTGTCCTGAATTTTAATTTTTATTGATCCGATGGAAAACGAATTACATGTACATTTTACGTCGATTTGGTGAGGTAAGAAAGTGTTTACATTCTAAGGAGAAATGTCATCCAGTAGGCAGCTAAGGAGAGTAATTGATATTAACTACAGTATTACCAAACACTAACCTGGTATTTTCCTCCTCTACTGTAATAAATTTGTATCACATGAAGATCCTCCTCCTCTATAACACGCGAAGCTTACATGAAGGTTCCGACTCCTCGTTGAAGAACAATTAAAACTTGTAGTTATCCCTCTACTTGCTGTGTCCTCTTCCTTTTTCTTTCGTGGAGGTTCAGGTCAAGGTGGTGTTATGATGCTCCCTGATTCTCGTCTACCAGCTGAACTACCACAAAGGACCAAGAACTTCCCTGAGTTTGTTGTATCTTCACTTGTGTTTGTCAAGTCTCTTCTTCCACATCAACTACCTGCTTCATGGCCGCTGTTAATAATATACCACGAACTTGATCTAAACTAATATATATATTTTCATAAAACAAACTTCCTGAACCACATTTAAATTATTCCTAACTAATTATAAAATGATAATCTAATTTTATACATTATGGTTTTAATTCATTTATATCGCTGGGCAAATATAATTTTAGTGATTGTAACATTTTCTAACATTATTTACACGTATTGTTTTGACCACACCGAGACGGTCGGTTACTCTCCCGTGAGTGTTGACATTGTCTGGTACTCGGTTGTCATACATGTGAATAACAGGTCGCCACTATTCCACTTGTATAACAGTAATTTTTACATGAATATAATAAATTGTAGTAACAATACATGTTGTATGCTTATTACACGCCTCATACAGTAACTCACTAGATTTTAACACAAATGGAAATATAAAACTTTGATATGAACCCTAAACTGTCTACATATTTTTAAAGTATATTTTCAGAACATGAATACAGTTCAGTATGAGGTAGAGTTTGGTTAGGTTAGGCTAGCTTTGGTCAGATTAGTTTAGCATTAAGATGGTTGATATTTTGGTGAAATTAGTTAGGGTGAAGATTTTTCAGGTCATCCTTATCTTATCTTTCTTCTGTATGATTAGGTGCCAGATTTCAAAACGGTCTTGCACACTTGTCTGGCCAGATAAACCAAACCAAGTGCACTTTACCGTTGCTAAAAACATCTTCATACGAAACATTTCACTCTTGCTGTATACAAGCATCCAATGAACGTTTTCAGATGTATTCCTTCTAGATTAAGTTGGTTTTAAGTTAAGCAAGGAGTTTTTTCCAGTGGTTTTTGATGTTTTTTTTATTTTGTTATTGAAATAACCATCGTAAAAACACATGGTTTAAAATGTAAATTTACCTCTGTTTGTCAGGGCAAACTACAGCTTCTAAGCTTTCAAATGTTTTGTATAAATTATAAACAAACAAAGGGAAATAATAGAATGTTTCATATGCCCCTCACATCCGATTTTTATTATGGAGCATAAGGGTTGAGACGATCCTGGCCCATCGTATTTGGTTCTGCAGCTCCTCAATGTTGAGACACTGTCATAGCAGTCATCACATTAGGGAAGAAGCTGGGGTTGAAACTCCTGCTAGGGCTTTGATATTTTGTCGATGGGAACTAATATCTTTTGTTTGAGGTCATCAATACTATGCACTGTATATACAAGGCAATGTCATTGTTGATGTTTTGCTTATCCTATCTTTGAATTTCTAAGCAGTTTCCAGTCTGGCACTTGGTACTTTTCTGAAATATATGACACAAATAATTTCAATTAGTTATATATTATCACACACACTCCAGTTAACACCACCCACACACCCCCAATATCCCCCAACCCGCAAAAAATCACACCCCCCCCCCAACATCAACCATAAACCTTCATTATCACCCCCACACCCTCCAACATCTCACCCACGCACTCCACCACCATCCCCCCCCACACACACATGCACTCCACCATTATCCCCACACCCCCCAACATTAACCACAAACCTTCAACATCACCCATACACTCCAACACCCCCCACACAATGTATCAAACCTCAATCATCACTGCTATTAATCAAATGACTCATTCATAAAGTACAATAGTGTACAGTGCATACTCATTTATTCATTGATTACTAGATACATTACTGTAATAATTATGTTTATTAATACTGTACCTGTACCCTTGATATACAACACTATATTTCTCACAAGTAAAATAGTACGTTATCTTTAACACAATAAGAACATGCCGAGAATAAAACTCTATAGTTTTATGCTTGTAGTAAATATTTTCACTTGTGCCCACAGTCTAGGTGTAAATGGAGTGTGTTCACGCAAGACGAGATGCTCAGTTTAGACTCTCAGTACTCTCTCCAGCACCCAGAAACATTCCGGAGATATGGAATTTTTCTGGGTTTGAGAGAATCGTCTGGTTACCCAGATGTCTCTCACCCCCGGAAGTGCTCTGCACCAACTGTTCCAGCTAATGAGGATACCACCATATTAAGTAACAGCAGTACAGTGTATTTCTATACCTACAGTATGCTGTATACTTCAACACACAGCAAACATGTCAACTTCAGATACTTGGCATACAGTATTTGTTGGAAAAGTCATTGTGTCACTGGTCCTAGGTCAGTGTTACCACTGTCATCACTAGGTTTTCTGTACATATAGTGTATTCAGTAGTTTAAATGGTGGCAATGTTGTTCTGCCTTTAATGGTTGGCATTCAAAACAAGATTCAATATTTTACTGTTTTTATTATATTTTAGAAAGCTTGAGTACATTCTCTAGTTCATAAATGTTCTAAATGCCAGAGTGAATATAATAGTAGTAGACTTCAATTTGCCATCCCTATCAATGTGAGATCTCTCCTTAAATCTCTAGAAATGAGAGAAATAAAAAATAGCTTGCAATCTTGTATAAAAAGACAATACATTTTATCTACACAATATTTGGCGCAGAGACCCCCCGTATATTTCCCCAATATTAGGTACACTTTCTTTCCATGGGAAATGTTGAGGACCCCTTCCTGACCTCCCGGAAGAGCTAATCTGAAGCTCTCGCAGGGCCCGGAAAATGACATTGCTCTTCCTTGGTGGAAAGATGATCCCTGGGGCCTCCCACCACTGCTTACAACCCAGCCACAAAACCGTGCTTCAAAGTATTAAACTCTCATTGACTGATTACTGTCAATATTGCTCTATGAAACACACTTGGTTTGGTGTAAGTTGGAAGCATTGGCAAGTGGCACCCCCACAACCCCTATTTGGGTTGCTGGTATATCTCCACATGCTGTAAGTGTCACTTGGCTGATTATAAAGCATTCCTGATGCTCCAGGCATCAAATAATGTTGGTATATTAACTATATTATATAATGTGAAAACTTCTATATTTCTTTGTTTGGCTAGAATCCCACACGAGCCATTACATAAAATGCACGGTCTGTACATTAACTATAAATTATTGTACCACTAAAAGTTTAATTTTGCACAATTTTATTGTTTATTTCAATATTACTAGCTAACAATGCAGCATCCCACTGCAGGAGCAGTGTTTATATTAAAACACCAGATTACTTTTGAACACATAATCTCTCCATGACAGATCATTGTGCTATGAACTTTGTACCTGATCAAAGCTCCTGGACATAATATTAAATTCTAGCACCAACAAGTTACAAGCAGCTGATGAGATATCAACATGAGAAATGCCCAACAATTCAGATCTATGGGCAATTAAGTTTTGTTCACTGGGAACCAGGAGCCAAATTCTTGCAACTCACACACACACTCCTGCCTGTTTATTATGAGGAACAGCGCGCCATCACCGACTAGAGTTAGTCTGAGGAGAGCATAAGCAGGATTGCTTATGTCAGCATCTACAATAACAAATATGGATCACTAAATAAAGACAACATTTGTACATGAACATACAAACTAACAATCTTTGGCAATACTCAGACTATGACTGAGATTACAAGTATAACTATATAAACATTTTGTGGAGGATCATGATAAAAGTGGAATGTGGGCTGTACCTCTGTCTCACTATCATCAGAACTCGCTGCAACCCTGCTAGCTTATGCCAGGGAAGAGCTGGCAGCCCTCTGCCGGGGGCGTTCTCTGCCACAACCCAAACCTGGCCCCGCACCCTATCCCGCATCGTCGCGGGCATCAAACAATATCACAGTAATAATAATGGCAGTGTTCGCCAAAGTGAGTCCAGGCACACTCGGCCTTCTCGCAATTTACAGGTAGTTTGACTTAATATCTAAGAAGGCTGCAATGTGCCACAGCAATTCTACTTGAGATGCATCAATGCACTGCTGTTGCTGATCAGCAATGTCTCCCTGCCCAGTTTGTGACATTACTAGACAGGAACACATTTGTCGAACACTGGGTAGGCCTATACCCTGAGATTAGTCAAGTTATTTGTATGACTCAGGGATGGATCATTACTGCAACATGCTAGCCACTGCCTTCAGGAGACCAGGCTTGAGTGATGCTGCGGCCACTTGTTGCGGCTCCGGCCGCTACTGTGTAGAGGATGCTGTAACCAGCACCCAAGTCCAACCGAACTTAAGTGATAATAATTAATCCATTAAAAAATAACAATAAATAAATCAATTAAAAAAAAATTATATTTTTATAAATATATACCGGAAAAAAAAAGGAAATAAAAAAAATATACATATGGTGGGTGTTCAAAATCGAGGAGGAGAGACAAAGACACATCTCCATACAGAGCCTCTTTTGGATTCAATCCTTTAAGTGTTTAAAAACGCAACTCATTTGGAACTCACCCAAATGACATCCGAACAAGTTTCAAAGTTTTAAAGTTCCTTCTGAGCAACAAGAAGTAAATCTGAAATAACTGCAACCACAGCTGCTCCAGAGGCTCGTTCAACACTACAATCAAAAGGGACGGCAAAATATCAAATGATCAATTAAACTTCCCAAAAGCCATGCTACAGAATTCTATAATTATAATACCTTAATGAACGCAACAGTGCACGCTGCTGTTGCTCGGGCGGTCCAGTGATGTTTACGTACTACGTTTCTGTCCCTCTGCTGCAAATTTCGCCGAGGCCGTGTTCACTTTACGTCGCCCGGCAACACCACCGCTACAGTATATATTAGACACAAAAGTTAACAGCAGCCCAACCTTGACATTAGGGGCATTATAGGGATAAAATGTGGTTCACAATTGACCTCAGTTTCTGCATCATATTTGTAAACTTACAATCAAAAAGGGTCTACATTTTCAGTGCTACACAGTGGGACATGGCTCTTTAGATCCATGCTATGAAGGTTCAGAGATGAGGCAGCATTATTACTATTCAACCCCTCCTCTTGATTGCTAATTATCACACAAAGAAGCAAAAGAAACGTCCAAGTTTCCTCTCTAAATAACGTCAATATTTGGTTTGTGATGCAGACTTCCGGGCGATAAACATCAAGACAAGTGAGCCTTCGGTCTAAGGTCAACATATTCAGAGAAAAGTTCCAAGCTTGTGACACAAGAAAATTTCAAGTTTAAAAGAGAACCCCGCATAGTGACTCATGTCAACATCTTCCAACAGACAGCAGGGTTTTTATAATGATAACACTTAAAAGTTTGACTGCTGCTGAAACTTTTTCTATGCCACTTTGTGGTCACTTGTTACTGGGTACAAGTATGAAGCAATACACATGTCTGGGAATAGTTTTTCAAGTGAAGTTATAATTCCTTTTTCAAAGCATCGCTCCAGTTTAAGACTGATCACTCACACGTGTCAGTACAGGGAAACCGCTAATCAACAAACACTTCGTGCCGTGGCAGAAGTAACCTTACATACTAGTGAGGGTTGACACCACCCATCTAAACTAAAGAAAAAGCAAACACTGCACTTCCACTAATGGTATAATCCCAGATTTAACAAGTGTTGCACAAGGTGGCAAGGTGCCGGAGTCTCCACTGCTGGGGCTCAGTTTCCCCACCAGTCTGTTCCGGAGGCACCTGAAGTATTATAGCTGTTGTAGCCACCTCCGCCGCCTCCGCTGAAACCTCCGTATCCTCCATAATGGTTGAAGTGTGGTGGAGCTGAAATGTTAACTGGATATTACCATGTAGAAGAAATGTCATCTCAATGAAATTACTACGAAACAACTATGATTCAGAAGCCTTTCCTTCCTGCCATCTGACATTGACCTACAGATATCTTACCTAAGCCATGTGTATAAGGATCTATTCATGCCACCTTCTACTGACATCTTCACTTCATACACATCTTTCAAATACGCTGTAGCTAGCTATCTATTCATTCACTTCCCCATCACTCTTTTCTCTGTTACTCAAAATCCACTTCCTTGGCTCTCAACATCAATGCTTCCTCTTCCACTCTTTATCTCATCATCAGAACAGAAAATAATATATTACATGTGGTGACTAAAGAGCTTATAAGTGTATTTTGTTTCCTGTCAATTATTGATGGTAGATGTAAGAGGTTCAACACGCTAGGTTCATTTCACATAAATGTTCCACACTATTTCACACACACACACACATATGTATACTGTACAAAAAGGATGGGTGAGAAATAACCAACTCATTTTACAATTTCATAAAATACTACACAACATAAATCATACATAATACACAATATACAGTACATTATACATACAACACAACATACATAATACATAACATAAAAGTTTATACCGAGACTACCTAGTGTCAGTTATTTCTCGTCCATCCTGTATAGTGCAACTGGAAGAACAAAAACTAATGCCTTTAGTCATTCCTCAATTGATCACACACATTCTCTTTCCATCACAAACTCACAAACATTCTTTCATTCACAAAACAACATAAAATGAATGCCAGGAGATACTTACTAGGTCATGCAGATCAAGAACACCAACGCATACCTACGGTGAAGATCATCATCATCACCTGCAAGCTCCTTTTGTGACTACTAACCTCCCCCGAAGCTGTTGAAACCTCCACCAGGGCGAGCAGGACCCGACGTGTGGGGGCCCTTGGTGCGATCCGCTTGACGGTAATCGCGAGAGCCAAACCCACCACCGAATCTCTTTCCTCCGCTGCGTCCTCTTGCGCTGCCGCCACCGCCCCAGCGCGTCTCTGAAGCAATGGCCTCCAGCCACTTGGGCAACTCCTGCTTGGCCTCTTGCAACAGCTCCACCAAGTCACGAACCATATTGCGGTTTTTGTCGTTGAAGAAGCTCGTGGCAAGACCTGCGATGAAGGTAAATGCACCAATACTCGAACATTAAGAAATATAAACCAAACATAAGTGAACTTTATTATATAATCAGAATATCCTGTGCTACTCTGTGGGCTGGATACCCATAATATTAACTTGTCTGGTGTGCTCCTTCTATCTCACATGAACCTGGGTGAAAAATACACTGCTCTTGAATATTTTTTCTTACCAATCTCAAATGTGAGAACAAAGCAAGGGTGATACACATTATCCAATCTATTATTTTTTTCCATTCCCACAAGACAGAAAAAAATAAGAAGTCTCGATGATAACTTATACATATCAGAGTTCTTCACGTTAACAGAGATGATTAACTTCTTCTTTCCATAAACTATTAAACCTTTACTCACCCAACATTACCTTACGTTCCACTTTTGTGCACACGGGGGCAGAGTGGGGAATCCTTGGTTGCTGGTTGAGGGCCAACTATGCACTGGCAACATCTTCCAACAGACCAGAAGCCTTCAGCCATCATTCACCAACCTGTTACCTCTCAATGTCTCAACACACCAGTACTGTATCATTTAAAACTCTCACCATCAGACCTGTCAGAAGACTTCCTTCCTAACATCTCGTTCTCTCATCATATTATTCAATATCTCTGCCAAGCAACCGAATTTGTGACTACTTCTACATCTCTTTATCATTAAAACTTACTGAGCTATGAATAGTCTTTCTCCCAAGTGCTTCTTACCAACAATACAATCTAACATATCCATGAACTGCATTCTTCAGTAAATGACTCTTTATTCACAAAAAAATTAAATATCTTTCCTTCATTTATTAGAGCATTTTTCCACTATAACTCAGGGCAGTTATAATAATGAGCAACACTGATTCTCCTTCATTCACTGTTATCCATTTGTTCTAGATGCCTTACCAGTTGTAGTCTGAATGCCGCATAGATCTGCAGCTCAACTAATTCAACACTGATAGGATAGCTACTCTTGTATTAGGATATTTAATATTAAGGTAATAAAATGGCAGCGAAGGTGTGGCTATTGGGAGAGGCTGGAGGCCACGTAATTAAAAAAAAAATAAAAAAAAAGTGTTATAGTGCTCCGCGTCCACCACAAGGCCAAAAGACATCCACCCGATTCATCCTTGTGGCTTGATAAAACTTATAAGATTATCCCACTCACCAAGGTTGCCCATACGGCCAGTACGACCAATACGGTGAACATATTCTTCTATGTCAGATGGAAGGTCAAAATTTATGACGTGTTTAACGTGTGGAATGTCTAAACCACGGGCAGCAACCTGAAAAGCAAAAAAAAATGCACCGTGAAAAGTTTGAACCTATCTCACCTGATTCACCCCCCAGTAAAACTTTATGAAGCCTGATCTGCCAGGTTAGTTATACAGAGGTCAGTCAAAAGGTAAATCTGAACCTCATGAGAAATATATTCAGAACAACAATTTGTGGTTAAAGATATATTGACTTAAGTATGACTATGCTCTCCCAGTGATCCTCCCACCTGCCAACATGAGTGGCCTAGCTATGCTTCCCATGCATCTCTTTACAACTACTGTACAGGGTCTCAGAAAATTTTTATACACACTGCCTTACAGATATTTGTGGAGATAATATAAATGCTTTTATTACAACAGTAACATTGTCCTCCGCATGTGATGATGTGTGAATTCTTCCAACAGTGAGGCTTATGTTACTGCTGTATTACAAGCATTCACAATCTCTACAAAAAATTGTAAGGTAATGTGGACACATTTTTTGAGACACCCTGTAATTAACTAGTCAACAATGCAAGCAGCAGATGTTAAGGGAATTTGTTTCTTCTGTGAAAGTTTATCCTGGAAACTACTCAGCTGTTTGGCCAATTCAACTTAATGTTAAAATTCTATTCTACAGTCTGTATGTCACTACAGGGTGGACACACTCAGAAACAGATGAAGGTCAGAAGCAACCAAAGT